GAAGCTAAAGATATGGATGAAGGGATGTTTAAGGTTAAAAGTGTTGATGATGCTGCCTCTATTTTGTTGCCTCAAACTCCTCAAAAATTGAAGGAGTTGATGAAGCTTTCTTTTTACAAGCCTCAAACTCGTATTCCTAATTGCTTCTTATCTGATTTTATTCAAGTAAGTTCTTTTTTAATTCATTTTTTCACTAGTATTTTATTTTATGTTTGAAAATTGATGATACGAGTACCCTTATGTTTCCTATATGATGTTCCTGGTTATCTCGGTTATAGAATCAAAACTTTGACTAAAATGATCCTATCTGACGTTCTTAATGTCAATTTACTATTCTAACTTGTTCATTTTCTTAAAAAGATGGATTTTATTTACTTTGTTAAAAATAGATCTTGCTTTATATAGGGTTGTTTATTGATCCCCTTTAGCCACTTTTTCATGTTTATTAGTGAGGACTAATTAGGAGGATTATCTTTAACTTTTGGTGAGATTAGATGTGTTACAAGTGGGTGGCTGCAAATGTGTCTATTCGATTATTGTGATACGCTTTCTTTCTTAGAAAGAAATGAAATGAATTAACGCTACATGACAATTGTGTCCAACACAACATGGTTCCGTAATGATTTCTTTATAGATTGGTAGCCTCACCACACAACTCAAGAAAACTAGCTAGGGAACCCTTTGGACAATCGGATTGCAACTTGTCAATGAATTGTCTTCCAAATATTCTTAATTGGTTGTAAGATACTCTGTACTCGTAGTAGATTGTGCCACATGAGATATCAAACATCCGGTAGAGAAGTAAATAAGTTTGGATTTGAGTCAAAATGACATTATTGCAAAACATTATTAATTAAACCAATATATTTTTAGTTACAAGGCAATTGGTCGGCTAATTTTTTTTTGACACTAAGTTCCAAGGTACTTCGTAGTATATAATAGCATGACGATTTCAAGAGTTCACACACCAAAGGGTCCAAGTTTGGTCCCAAGGCCCTTGGAAACAAATTGGGAAGGGGCGGGGGTGGTGGAAGGGAAAGGGGAGTCACTGTACGTGTGAAATCTCTTTATGGCCTATTTAGATTTCGCTATTTTTGAAAAAGAAAGATGATTAGAAATAAAAAAAAAATAAAAAAAAAAAATAAAAAAAAGTTTGTGCATTTTAGTTGATATGTTGTGTAGGAAGTAGTGATTTTATTGTCCCAAAACATGAGTTCTCTTCACTTGTGATACAAATTTGAAGATTGCCAGAGTTTTTCTACTAGCTTTGACCTTGTTTTATTCGAGTTTGGAGTAAAGCTTGAAAACTTACTTAAACTAAACTTCCTTGCATGTTTCATCAGGTGATGTGCACAGAAAATCGGGAGCAAAGGAAACAGTTGATAGAAGCCTTGCATAAGGATAGAAAACTCGCTAACCTTCCTAAGATTAATAAGGTAACCAAATGCACAATTGTATATCTTTCATTGTTGTACTCATCCAAAAAGCTGATCATGTCATTGTTACTCGTGTTGGTGCAGAGCACATTGATCATATGGGGGGAACACGATCAGGTGTTTCCAGTAGAGCTTGCTCACAGACTAAAAAGGTATGCATTCTTAGCTTGTAACATCAAAATTAAATTTTTAGTACATCTCATGTTAACATGTTTGATATACTTATGTGGTCTCTCTTATGATCTATATGTATGTAGGCATATAGGTGAAAGCGCGGAACTAGTCATAGTCAAGAAAGCAGGGCATGCAATCAACATAGAGAAGCCCAAAGTACTATACAAGACCATGAAGAAATTTCTCTTTAATTCAGTTCCAAACTCTGAAAATAACGGCACTAGTAAATAATAATTCAGTTCCAAACTTGGAGGCCATGCCTGGATCATATGTTGTACAATCTTCCCATTAATGGAAGAATGAATTAATTGCCCTTGTAATCACTTATTTAATAGATATAATACACAATTGACAGCAATAAGGTTATACGTATTAATTAATTGCCGCTTGGCCCACATCATATTCAAATTTAGGTTATACTAATACGAGTAGTCTATTTGGTCATCTCTACAAAAGCAATTCCGTATTTCATAGGTTTTTCATATGAACCTTGGCACATCAGTATCATAATAAAGATATCATTAGGTTTCGACTTTAATTTACAATTGAAGGTTTATCACATGATTAACCCAAGCCTGAAAATGAATATGTTGCCAGTGTATAGAATATAGAATATAGAAAGTGAAATTCTTTATCAGCAAAAGGAGAGGAGTGCTCATAATTGGTCTACCTGCTGTAGCCTGTATTGCTGCATGCATAAATCTGGACAATGGAGTCTCTAACCAGGTTGCTCACAGGCACCTTGGTTAGCGAGGCGTGGCTCAATTTAGCCAGATATGCGTGCCCGGGTTAGGGTCCTATTGAAACCCTTTTTAAGCCCAAAACTTTGATGCTATGATTCCCAAGCTAAGCACACTTCAGAACATATATCTTAAATTGAGATTTGCTCGAAGGCAATAATGCATGATTGACAGTAATGTTGATTATGTTTGTACCAGAAAGCTAAGGATCGAAAGAGGATCAAAATCAGAAAACAATAATCAAATAAATTCATCAATCAACATACATCTCACACATAAAGATAATAGAACCCACAATCAAAGTTGTATCTAACATTTTGCTTTCTAGCACTCGTCAAATATTAATTTCTTGTAAAATTTGAGATTACCATACGATAGGAAAGGATTAAATTGTTAGCTTGAAACGACGATCCAAAATTCACTAGAGAGATGGCTATTTAACAAGAAAGCAAGAGACTTCAGTTTCTTTCCATCCATAATCTAGGAAATGATTGTGGCCTATCCAAGATCCTTAACTTGAGGAGAAAATGTGCGATAATCCCACATAAGAACCCAAGTGACGCCCCTGAACCTACTAGGGTTACAGCAGTCACCAAAAGCATAACAAAGGCCTCGGCTTTCGTGTTCATATCCCTACAAGCCATAGCGAGCTCTAGGCCAGCAAATAAAAGTAACACCCCTAAGACTCCGACAGGAAATTGGTCTAATATTTTGACAATAGAACTCCCCAAAACAACACCAATTACCAATTTTCCATTCCCAAAAGGGCTACACACCCGCCACTCCTCCCCCCAAACTTATATTGGCCCGCGAGACCTCCAGCTCCGTGGCAAGTCGGTATGGCACCAAACCAACACCCAACTAAGTTCATCATTCCAACAGTCACAGAAAGTGATGTTGCCGAGAAATCCTTCCCCGGAAAAAGGTCTGATGACAACTTACAAACCGCAATAACTGAGTTTAACACAGATAATGGCAATTGTGGAATTGTACCTTGGATGAACCCTTGTTTCCAAGACTCTTTAGAGATGTTTATAACATGAATAGGAGAAGGTCCAAATTTAAAACCCTTGAACACTTCTTTAGGTCCACTTGCAAATGTCAAAATTACCCCTAACAAGAAGATCATAACAGCACTAGGAAGTGAATACAAAACCCTCCTAAAACCCTTACTTTCCAAACCCCCCCTCCTCTCTATCTCATCACAACCACCAGCACCGGCCACGCGTTCGCCACTTGATTCCAAGTCACACCCACCACTCTGTCTATCCTCTCCAGCCCCATTTACAAGAATGATAAAAAAAATGCACAAACAATAGCCAACAACAAACCATCCAAACCCAACCAAGGCCTGTCACCTACACTCTTAGACTTAGCAAAATCCTGCTCTTTTGTTATATACTTAACAGCAGCCATTGCAAATTTCAACCCTTGTGAAACCTGAATCCCTCTAACAACAGATAAAGGAATTAACAGATAAAAAAGCTGCATCAATTGTGTTACACCTAAAACAAATAAAATTCCGGCAGTACAAATTCCTGCTGCCATAACCTCTGGAATTCCAAAATCTGGATTAGCAATAGCAACTGCTGCGATTGATTTCATAGGCTGAACCGGCATCGGTATGCCATAGATTGCACCAGTAACAATGTTGTAAATACCTGTAAAGATAAGGGTGGTACCCAAATCAAGATTTCTTGACAATGTTAAGGCCAACACTATTGGGATATAAGTGCCCAAATCTCCCATTGCAGCATTCAATTCCCCCATTTTGACCTGAAACTGAGGTTTTCTTTAAGGGTGCCCCAGAAATTGTAGGAAAATTTCTGGTGAATTGGGTCTGGAGTTGGGTTTTCATGGATTTGATGGTTTAAGTTTTCTGAAAGTTGCTGATGAATTTGGGGTTCCATCTGATATTTTTGTTGAGAAAGAACACTTTTTTGTTGTTATTTATATGAGTTTAAAAATGTAATCTTTATTTGTCTTTTAGAGGTATCAGGGGTCATTTATGTTGGGATTGGACCTATAAAATAAGGGCTGATGTGAGTCCTAATCTTGTGGGGGAGGTGATTTCTGAATTTGATGGAGACTTCATTGGTAGTTCTTTTTTTGGAGAAATGATGTTTGTGAAATATATTCTATATTCTCCACTGCATGAGTATTCAATTGCGTTTGGCTTCAATTCAGAAGACAATTTGAATACTTATTGTTTCATTTTTGCCATTTGTTTTATTCCCTCTGTTTTATTTTTTGGTGCAAATGTCAACTTCTTTGATAGAGATGGACTTGTTTTTGAACGATTGATAGAGATGGACTTAAATTAGGGATAAGATGCCATTTAAATGTTGATTGGCACCTTGTTTGTGGGGCCTCTATACACAGGTTATGTTCACGCACACGTCTCATAGAAAAACCCCAGATGTAACTTATATTAGATTTAGACGAATTTATAATTAGATATTTGATCTTGTACATTTAAACTTGCTGACATTTACTTCATTTTCAGTCTTTATTAAGTACATTATCCACTAAAATATGCAGTACAGAAACAAGGGTCAACGGTAGCATCATCTAGAACTAATGAAATTATATATGACAGAACCGTGAAAAAATAAAATAAAATGATGACACAGGAAAGGAAAAGACAGAGTTAAAGAATGTTCAGTCTGTTTCTATATACTTTGAAATAATACGATACCCCGTATACAACATACATAGTTTACATTTATTCAACAGCACATATCTGACTTCATATCTCAAGAAAAATGTTTAAGTTTCCCGCCCGCATTCAACACGGTAAGATGTAATGTAATAAATTAGCTATCAGCAATTTCCCTTCTCCTCCTATCCCCAAAAAGAATACAAGTTTAGTATCTCTATAGTCTATACATTAGTTAAGAATCAAACAGAGGCACAGAAATATCTCTGTCTTCCCATATAGTCCTTAATAACCACAACAACATAATCAAACCAAACACTATCAGACTATACTATGAAAGAGGAACGATATCATATGTTCATACTTTGTCCCCTGGAAAGGGCTTACGGCATATGAGTACTCTCTCATCAATGTTTGCTTCCACATCTACAGTCCGGGCATCCCATCTAAATCTTGTCGCAAGTGTTCTAGCTAGTTCAATCATTGAAGGTGTGTCACGGAATATAACCCAACCCTGGGAAGGGAAAATTTTCAGTACCAGTGGACAGTAGCCAAATTTTTTAAGTTGAGGTAATAGCAAGAAAAACATATAATCATCACCACGACTCATAATTAAAAAAGCACATTCAGCATACCTCTGGACGAAGGAGTCTGTCTATGTCTAAGAAGAGATCAAGCATTGTGCACTTCTGATGCTGATGTGGCTCAAGTGACAGCAGTCCAAAAGCATGGATCATATCATAAGTTCTTGGGTATGATGGAAAAGCTTCACACCTTGAATCAAAAAAAGATTGCAGTCAGAATTTTCAAACAGGATCATTAAAATCAATTTTGCACAGTGAATCCACAAATCAGTCTCGGCAATAATGAGTCATAAAGGGCATACTATCAAATGTGAGTTATGTATATGGTTATGGTTTGTAAAGAGGAGATTCCCTATTGCATATCAACAAAGAAGTTTTCATCACAACAAAGGTTAGCACCTACCAATTATGGGATGTGCCTATAAATCCTCTGTCATGGATTAAGGGGAGTGAGTTAGCTGCAGTCGTAGGAACCACATTCATGACCCACAGATTTTTCCCAGCTTCCAGCAAGGCATGATTAAATCCACCAAACTGAGCATTCATATCCAATACATTCCTAAGCATGTTAAAAGGTGGAGAAGGGTCCTCGTCACCAGGTCTCTTCGGATGGTCAGAGAATATCTGGGGTGACAATAAAGACCAATATTCCTGAATTGCTGACTTCCACTTTAGGGAGTCCGCAGAAAATACTTCGGGAAGGACACCTATTAGATATAAAGAAATGCTCAGTGATGATTCTGATGAAACAACATTGCATCGACCTAAGGATTATATATTATAAAAGGAAGAGTTTGAAAACATACCATACATCCTAATTTCACTAGAATTTAGACTTGCTCTAGAGGGCCAAGCTGTGCGCTGTTTAATTGGAATCCATCTTTCACTACGAGTTCCGCCTATGCATAGATGGAGGGGTTGATAGTACGGAGATTCAACATCATACTTCTTCTCACAGATAGGAGGGTTTGAACTATGCTTCCTGGATTAAACACAAGACAAAAACGTAAAAAGATCAACTAAAGCATGAAAATTTTACACGGTAAAAGTCATGTTTTCCCATCTAATTACTCACTGCAACTCTATTGTGAAATATCCTTCTTAGAGACAGAGAAATTACTTGTGAGCATAACAATTTCTGTGAGTGGTCTTTCTCCAGATAACTGTATCATCTTGCGGTGATAGCATATCCCAGCATAGACTTTCTGCAAATTGAAGGACAAATTGCCACTTTTTTTGGTTTTCATTGGTTTCATGTGATCCATGCATACCAGCAACTGGTGAAGTCCAGACAAAATACCCTCCCGGCTTCAGAAGTCGGTCAGCTTCAACCAGAAAAATCCCATCTGCATAACAAGGCATATTAGGTCCTTTTTCATCCAAGGAGTCTACTCTTCGGAGTTTTTTTTTGGCCAGGGGAAGGGGTTAATGATTACCTTTTTCATCCCAGTTAATACCACATCTAGCACAATGCAACATGTCAAAAGAAAGTGATGAGAAAGGCAGCCGCTTTGAACTGAAGGACGCAATCATTGCAGGGAGACCTCTTTCAAGTGTTAACTGAACTTGACTACCAGAAGGTTCATAATTTGCAATACACATTGTCAACAAATTTCGTGAGAAGAGATGGGCGCCAAAACTACCATAGCCACACCCAATATCCAAAACAGATCTTATCTGAAAGACAAAAGAATAACAGAAAAAGTTAAAATTATAGGGCATGAATCTGTTCATATTGGACTAACAGCCAAAAGTTAAGAGTCAGCCATAAAAATTTGTTTAAAATTTTCCTCAGCTACACAGAGAAAGAGAAGTGATTACATTATAGCTAGAAAGGTATTGGTATCAGTAATGCAGTTTAACAATCTTTCATATACCGATTAAGTCAATCATTAGTAACTAAGACTGGGTGGAAATTTACATTCAATCGAACACCTTGCAACTGTGAAGACTTGAAAGCAAATACGATACTGCAAGATACATTCAAGATGTTTATCATTGATCAGTGTTGGCCACAATATTGAAGTTTACATCCTCTCCAACATATAAAACATATCGTTTGAAATTAAATTCCAGCTATAGAAAAAACCAAAGTTACATGCTTAATCATCGAAAGAAAACTAATCACATTTTTCAACTTACTCTTTACTGCAGACAAAGGAGTTTTCCTTCTAAAAATTCAAGCAAATCTTATAAGATTTGACTTGAGAGGAAGTATTACTAAAATACAGCAGAAATTTTGATAGCTACGATATTGTGGGGAATAGGGATAAGAACTTACTCCTGCTTGATTGAAGTCAGACACACTTCTGAGGCCAATCATGTCTGCAATTTGATGTGAGTAGTCGTCAACTCCATCAAACATGAGAGAGTCTGAACGAAATGATATCTGGCCTTCTTCCAACATCATCAACCTGCAACACATGGTATAGGACATAAATACGCTTCACGAAAGACTGATTGTAAGCTATGTAGACTGGAAACATGAAATGATGCCCCTGTCCCCACTAACCTCTTTGTCACGGCTCCAGAAGTCAAAACCTCTTGAGCAGAAATCTTCACATTAGCATACCAAATCACATCCCTACCAGAAGGCCACCTAAGAGGCAACCTATAATTCCTAGGTGGAAGAACCACGCAATTCAGCCTCAAACCCCTTTCACACTGACGTTCCAAGTAGGAGTTCCCGGTATTTTCAGAAGTGTTAAAGCAAGGCACATAATTTTCATACTCCTGAGAGCAAAACTCAACTTCTTTGACCCTTGAGGACCCAAGAGAAAGCTCTTGAATATCTGAAAAGTCAGAAATGAGCTGTTCTTGGAGCTGTAGCCACCAGTAACCACCAGCAAAATTATCTACGAGTAATGGTTTATTCGTGATAGAAACCATCCGTCTAATTGATGTAAGAAGCACAAAGAATGCTACTATAGCTACAACTAGCTTAAGAACAAAACTAAACAAATTATGCTGCAATTTTCCTTTTCCATTCACACCACCAACTTTTTCTACTCCAAAACAATGATCATCAACTGCATTACATACATAATCAGAAATGCTCGCCTTACACGAATCGCCTTTCTCTTTGTCTTTCTTCCTTGCTATACCATTCTCTAAGTCACTAACAGCAAGGTCAGCCTCCCGTAATCGTCCACTGGATCCGGCTCGATTGTGTGGACCTACCATTGATCAGTAATTATTCTCCTAAAGAACTAATCTGGTACTCTCCAGAGCTGATAATCCTACCAAAAGCTGAAAAACAGAAAAAAGCAAACTTTCCTGTACTTCAGTAATGATCTGATAGTTGAATTGATCCAGTTCATATATTCTGAATAACTAAGTATTAAATAGCATCATATAAACCCTAAATCGTCTAAATATGTAGCAATTCAAAAGTTGAACTTGTTGATTCCAAGTTATGAATCATCTTACTCTAAAAAATGGGAATTTGTTGGATTTTGATTCTAACAAGCTTACTCCAAAAACAAAAGCAAATTAGCAGATTAGCAACAAGTAGAAGTAAATAATTCAACAATTAAAATTTATATAAGTTAGATCAAATCAAATGTGGGAAGATTTAAGTAGATCAAATTATAAATTAGTAAATGAGCAAAAGTAAAGTTGCAGTGATTAAATTAGTATTGAGGTAGTTAACAAGATCTCAAATTTGGTATGGAAAAATAAACGACAATGAAGAAGGATGAAGAAGAAACCTGTAGTTTTAAAAAGACGTTAAAGAAGTCAGAGACGGTGCAATGGTCGCGCTCTTATGAAAAGTCGGCAGTCGCTACGCTAGTGTTCAGCACCAGAAGTTGTATATAATGACTGGGTGTGAATTTATGATTTGTGATTTCTATTACTCCGTACTTTTGTTTCGAGAAAATATAACTTTATATCACATAAATATAACTACGTGTGGCAGACTGGCAGTCGATCTAATAATCACTCACCGATTAAGTAACCCTTGATTAAGTAATCCCTGTTCGATCGAGTTATCTCTAATCAAGTAACTCTGAGCATACGATATAATCAGCCACATATAAAACTTTGTGTAAGTACAAAATAAATATTAATTGTGCGTCAATTTTGAAAATAATGTTAATTGTGTAAATGAATCAACAACTTTTCATTATATGTAGATATTATAATTGTTGATTTTATTACGAAAATGGCATGCCGCTAGCTGAATAAAGTTGTTGATATGTTTGCAAATTACCATTTTTTCGGTTGTTTAAATTACATGCTAAGTTAGCATATACGGAAGATAAAAAATAAACTAAAATAAATAAAAAGTAATCATTAAAACTAACAACCGAAAAAGTGGCAATTTATTTTCAATATTAATTTTGGACATTAATATCTTTTGTTAAATATGGAAGAGAAATAAAGAGAGATAGGAGAGAAATTGAGGAGAGAATAAATCAGACTATCTTGTTCCACAGAGTGGGGGATATATATACATACAATATAACTAGGGTTTGCTTAGATAACAATAAACCCTAAATCTAAAATATTCCGAAATGATAGAAGAAGGGTAATGGATATCCACACAATATTTCATAACATTAGTATTCTATTAATTGTTAATTTTTCTAACTGGTAAATAAATTAGATGATTGAAGCATTTATGCAAACTTGATCATTAAACATTTAAAACTACTTGTATTTGGTAGTACACTGATAATTCCTAGTAAATGGGAGGCAGATCTAGGTTCTCTGTCGTAATTTATTCTTCACATGTTGCGCATTAAAGACACTCGCAACATTGCCGGAGTATAAATTTTCAATTCCAAAGCTTACCAGTTCAAGAATTCTGCTGAAAAGCAAAATGAATTTTAAAAAAATTGGGGTGAGAGAGGCTCGAACTCTCGACCTCAGGATTACTCAGAAGCTATGAGACCTACGCGCTAGCCAACTGCGCCACCACCCCTTTTGTTATTCTAACTTGCAAATTTTAATACTGGTACCATATCTAATGTTTTGGTTTTGCATGTTTCAGTAATTTTAAATTTTAATTGAGTATCTATACAAAATTAATATTTGATATATAATACTAATACATAGTACGGAGTATTACACAATCTTGTACAATACCACGTAAAAATCAATAATAGAAAAATTCATGGTGCATTCGCATATTTTATACACACATCACATAACAAACCGGTCTTATAGTTCAAATTATGAATATAATCTCACTAGTTCGTCACTGAACTAGGCTAAACATACATTTTTTTTAACTAATCGATGCATTCACTATGAAGAGCCTCTTTGATAAGCCTCTCAAAATCATCAAAGGATGAACCTCCAACATCGGTAGCCTCCTCAGCTCTTTCTTGCCAACCCAAAGCATTTTTTCTTAATTTCTCCCCTTTCTTTCCATCCATCACTTCTCTAACCAAATCCTGAATCTCCTTTCTCTTAACCTCTTGATTCACCTCAAGCCCAACCCCCCACTCATCTTCCAAACACGCGTACCTACAATTCGTGGGTTGCTCAAAAAAGAACGGCCAACAAATAATAGGCAAACCACCTCTACATACAGCCTCGAGCAAAGAATTCCACCCACAATGTGTCAAGAAAACACCAACCGCGGGATGAACCAACACTTGCTCTTGTGGACACCAACTCACCACCAATCCTCTATCCCTAACCTCATCAAAAAATTCCTTAGGCAACAACTCTGATTCCTCCATACTAACAACATCCGGACGTAGGACCCACAAGAATGGGTGCTTGCTTTTGGCTAAACCCCATGCAAATTCCACAACATTTTCCTTAGACATTGTAGTAACACTACCATAGTTTACATACACAACTGATTTGGGCTTCCTTTGGGCCAACCACTCAAGACATTGTATATCATCTTTCCATAAAGTGGGCCGAAATGACTTTAATGGGCTTTCAGGGACATGTTTTTGCTCTAGTATTTGAAGTGGCCCAATTGTGTAGATTTGAGGGGATATATTGGATTTAATGGCCTCTAAAACTCGTTGTTCGAATGAATCGAAAGTGTTGAATATTAGGGCCGATGCTTTGAGACAGCTTTGAACTTGTTCTTTTTGAAATGTGAAAAGAATTTCATCTTCATCTGTAATTCTCATAAGAGAAGGAAGATCTCCAAGGCGCATGTTCTCCATGCCTGGTATCCAATTCACTGGCGTGTTTAAGGTTCCATCGTGCTTGTAATTTTCATCTACGACCATCACAAAATAAAAATTAGACTGATTTACTATATTAATCCAAATTTAGTTCTCACATTTAGTAAACTTTCTTAGACGTTGAGTAATTCACAACTTTAATACTATATGATTGTGAAATTGATAAGATGTTGAAATGCGTATAGTTTTGAAAACCATAAAATAAATCGGTTGCAATTATATGAAACGTGCTGTCGGACATAGCCTAATATTTAATTTAAATTAGCAGTGTGTATTTTAAGCTCTTTGGCCTCCATGTGAAGAAAAGTAACAAAAAGAACTCCATAGGAACAATCATTAAGGTTGCATATGAAATGTTAAAATAAATTATCAGATTCTTATCATATCTTCGTGTAATATCATTAAATATTTCAAACATGTTTTTCAATACCATTTTGCATCTTATCATGATTGTGATATGCAAAAGACTTATGCACTATACAACAAAATAAGGTTGAATCACCACCACTACATACACATTATCTATAGTACTCCACCTTATCTATAGTACTATTACCCTATTACTATACAGTCCTAACAAATTAGTAAAACACTTTATCATTCCTAGTTATTATTTGTTGGAATCTTGAATCATTAATTACTGACTAATTATTATTAATCGTAATCACAAATCGTTAATTACTGATAAATAGATTAACACGATGGTTCTAGATCATGCAATAATCACGAGAGTCAATTAATTAAATAGACCAACCTTTAAAGGGAATAATTCCCCTTTCAAGAAGTTGAGGATAATAAAGATAACCCAAGAAACCACAAGCAGAGGCAGTCCATAATTGGATACCCGGAACACCAATCTCTCTAGCAGCTTCAACAACACCACCCAACAACCCATCAGAAATGACACATGTCACAGGAAGAACACCGGTCTTGGCTCGTACCCTCGCCAAGAGCTCACGTGAAGCAGGCAAACAATTGTCACGTAGAGCATAACATAGAGTAGGAGGGTCTTGGGTTGCATCACGATCAGACGGTGGTAATCCATCATCCATACTTTCAAACTTGAAATCAGGAAAACAGCTGACCCACTCATCATCATCCGACGATGATGAGCCCTTGTTGGCCTTGATCAGACGGTTGTGATTGAAGTGGGTATTGACGAAGGTTATGTAGAAGCCTCTAGAATGAAGAAGTTTGGCTAATTGCATCATAGGAATTAAATGACCTTGTGCTGGAAAAGCTACGCATACTGCATGAGGCTTGTTATTCATATTTACTAACAATATAATTTTATGGTTGTTAAAGTTTTGAGGGTTCTTTAGCTTAGATTTATTCACTATTTATGACTTTATGTATATATATACTTGTAGACTGTAGCATATCAAAGATTGTTGCACATCAATAATAATGGACTATGATAAAAATAATTAGGGTCGTTTTGACTCTAATATATAATATAATTTCAGCTTAATCACGACGTTTCTAAAGTCATGTTTGAATCTCCTTTCCTCTATGTCGTCATCTAAATTATAACTAGCTAGTTTTAATTTCCTTAACATTAGTCTTTTTTTAGTGTAATTGTTGTCGATTGTTGACGATTGACACAAATCATTGCCGCATGATTTTAATATTGATAGACATCAGCCGCCTACTCAATAAGATGTGTATAGGGTAGATCCAAATTAATTCAAACCGAAATGATAATATATGGATATAAAGATCCAGGTTGAATCAAACCCAGTTAAACAGATTATAACCGGTTGTATAACTAAAATTGTAATACAAAGTATTATCTTTAACAGTTTAACTGCTGTATATCTTTTGGTCTTCATATGGTCCAAAAGTGACATCAATAATGGGAAGACAAGTTTGATACGAAGGTCTAAGTATTAAATCTGATTGGTGTTCTTCATTGTAAGAAACTTTAGTCGATTTTTAAATGTGGTCAATGTACTACTGCTTGGTCCCCTATCTAAAGGGTAATTCTCTGTTTCTCATTGTGAGAAACAAGTTTTGTTTCTCATGGGGTATGTGTCAAGATATGAGGCTCCCACCCAAGACACATACGCGGTCCCCACCAGTGAAAAACATCACATTATTTTCCAAAATGCCATTATGAGAAACAAAAGTGTTTCTCATAATGAGGAATTGGGGCTCCCTCCTATGTAAATAGTCATTGCAAAGACGTCAGTTGTACATCATGATCTTCCTCTTATACAACTATATATTCTCTTGAGCCATTTTTACGTGTAATAAATCAATCTACAATTTCACAATTATAGAGATTAAAAATCAGCCAGTTTTGACCCTTGAAATATAATCGAGCTTAAATTATTTTAGATTAACAAATAACAGTAATCAAGTGGGAAAGAAATTTGAGATAAAGTATATATATATAGGAAATGGACCATATCATAAACGTAAGGAAAAACTACACTTCATTTAATTATTGTTTAATTTAAAGCAAGAGCTAGTACAACAGACTAACTAGAAAGTAAGAGCACTGCTATAGGATAATTAATTGAGATAATCTCTAATTAATCAGTGCATATTACCACCCTGATTGACAAGTATATATATTTTGACGTACTAATTATATGAAAGGATTACAAATGGAAGTAACTAAAATGAAGTTCCAAGAACTTAATTATGTTGCTAACATAGTACGTGAGAGGTACATAACTGTAAAATTGTAGTTTTACGTTGAAACAAAGTGGTGGTGGTCTGGTGGATTAATATGTGTTGCATTTAAGGGCACTTGACGGTAACCCCGTGGTAGAGGATGTCGTTCCAGGAGGGGCAAGTGACGGTAGCACTGGGAACACATTTAGAGTTGGCTATACAACATTGACTGCATATCCTCACACACATCCTTGTCCTTCCGACGTAAGCAGGGGAAGCTTGACACCTCTTAAAGCACTCCGTTGGGCAGAACCCTAACATATTCCAAACATACATTGACCATGTTAACTTCGTTATGTTAATTGAATACGTTAACAATAAAGTTATATAGTCATAGATATGCAAGATTAAATAATAGATCCAAAATTACAAACAATTCGAATCAATTTTTTATACTTCTTTTGAAATAGTATTAGAAGTCAAATTATGTTCTCTAAATTACCTAAATATGTTTCAACATGACATATATAATTAAATTCAATTTAAAGAGTTTGTAATGTTACATACCGTGGTTGTAAGGAGTTGCCGGGGGAGGAGTGTAAGTTGGGGGAGTAGAGGTAGTTGGAGGAGAGGATGGAGTTTGTTGTGGGGGGGAGGTGGCGGTCGGGGGAGTGGCAATAGTTGGGGGAGTTGCGGTGGTCGGAGGAGTAGCTGGAGTGTAGGTCGGTGGGGTAGCGGTTGTCGGGGGAGTGGCAGTAGTTGGGGGAGTAGCTGGAGTGTAGGTCGGTGGGGTAACGGTGGTTGGGGGAGTGGCAGTGGTTGGGGGAGTTGTTGTGGTAGGGGGAGTAGCTGGAGTGTAGGTCGGTGGGGTAGCGGTGGTTGGGGGGGTGGTGGGGGGAGTGGAAGTGGTTGGGGGAGTTGCGGTTGTTGGGGGAGTGGTTGGAGTGTAGGTTGGGGGGGTGGCGGTAGTTGGGGGGGTGGCAGGGGTTGAGGGAGTTGTGGGAGGTGTGGCAGAAGTTGGTGGGGTGGCGGGGATTGGGGGCGTTGTGGGAGGAGTGGTTGGAGTGTAGGTTGGGGGAGTGGCGGTAGTTGGGGGAGTGGTTGGAGCCGTTGGTGGGGTGGAGACTGGTGGAGTTGCGGGAGTTGGAAGAGTGGTGGTTGGTGGAGTGGCAGGAGTTGGGGGAGTGGTAGGAGCCATTGGTGGGGTGTAGACTGGGGGAGAAGTGTGAACCTCAGGCGGTGGACAATTAGCGTACACCTGCATGCAAAAATTTATAGATTTGAGAGAAAAAAAATATATGTACATCAATTCAAGGTAGCTAAGAAAACTAAGCTAGGATACCTTATTTGTGTATATGCATAAGAAGAGAAATTTATGAATGTAACATAAATTGTTATGCACATCATTTTAAGTGAATAGTATTGTTCTTTGAATTCAATGACTGTATAATTGGTACATGAGTACAAATGTATGTTTCGCACTACTATAACCCAACATGAACAGTTGGTTTGCCCATATTATCGATCACTTTCATTACACAAATATGATGCATGCATTATTGTATTATACACTTTATTTAAGTATATGAAGTATAAAAGGTATGCCTAGATTATATATAATAGAAAGATGAGCATATCAAAAAAGTTTGTTGTGACCTGCCTACAATAGGTGAGTAGTAATTTCAAAAAAAAAATAAAAAAAAATAAATAAATAGAATTGTAGTGTATGTTATTTATGCATTATGAGAAATAAAATTATGCATTAATAGAGTACCTGGGTGGATACGAGAAGGAAACAAGCGAACAAAAAGGAAGTTTTCAAAGCCATTGCAATTGGCAATTTAAATGGCTAAGAAAAACTAATTAGAAGGAATGAAGAAGCTTGATTGGTAAAGGCTAAGGATTTGGAATTGAGATATGTAAGAATGTAAAGGAGTGAGCTATTTATAGAGAGTGAACATTGAATAAATTAAACCGATCTTTCACGTACAGTTGTGCATTAATGAAGGGAAATTTTCTTTCTAATTTTACTTAAAAGATTAATTAAGGGAACCAAGTCGTAAGTTTCATTCATTAAGTATTGAAGCTCAAGTCAACCCTTCCTTGGCTTCCACAATATTATGGGAGAAATTTCTCCCATGCATCATGCATCGCGATGGCTCGTAATCTGATTTTAATTACTAGCAGTTTGATTAATTACTTTAGGATACATTTACTTTAGGCGAACAACTAATAGCCCTTGATACAAAATTCGAAATAGATTAGGCGTGTTGATCCATATAACCTCAACTAGAAAGAACTTGACATAATATAGTTATGTCATTGAATCAATTAAAATCAAGTTGAAATTTTCTAAAAATCTAACTAATGAGGATAAAAGTGTGAACATTATTACGTTACTGGCATACATACATACCTACTATAATTTATAAGTATCAAAACTAATTCAACTTACTTGCACTCTAGGTAAATTTTTCTTGTTTTGGATGTTTTGGTCTTAATTAAAGTACGGTTTCTTGTGAAGATTCAACCGATATAAATCTTTTGCTCTTATACTAATCTTTTAAACATAACGTTACTATTTTACATTGTTCATGCACATTATTTGATCTTTTGTGATGAAGTATATTAAATTACATTTTAACTGCATTGTAAATATTTAGTGATATATCATATCAGAATGCATGCATCATGCATGTGACAGGGTACAGGTAACACTCTAACAAGTATTCAAACTAAAGGAAAGTCGAAATCCATCCACGGAAGTGACGGAAATAGTCAAAAGGGTGATTATTGTTAAATCTCAATGCATGCTTTAAATCTAGCTAGTTAACTTGTATTGTGTATTTGTTTTAATATTTGTAATTTAAACCCACTCACATCCGTCATAACAGGATCATGTTAAGGGTGCGTGCGGCATTAAAGACAATCATTAAATTCAGTTCTCTTGGATTTCATGCGATGCGATCGATCTTGCACCGAATAAAAGGCTCATTTCCACGTGGCTACAAACTAGGTTATGTTACAACTTACAACTTACTTGATAGCTTACCTGGCCTTAAGCATAATTAGCAGCTACTCCTTCCGTTCTTATTTGTGAATTGCTTGGGTCGAATCTTCTATGACTACAACTAAAGATACTCTTTTTTCTAAGGTTTTAAGTTTGGACCGATATTGAAATTGAGTTCCGTTCGTTTAAAATCTTTTGTGAGAGAAAAGAATGTCAAAGCTTAACCAATCAAAAGAAACGAAGGGTATAACTTAATCAGATTCATTTCTTGAAATATAAGCTAAAGTTTTAAAAAATTACAAGACAATTTGTTTTCATCGGTTTGTCGCACATCGCTAAGATGAGCTGGTTATAGTCCATTTTACGGTATAGTGGCCATGACTATATAGTTATAAGTCTTATAACTTATAAATATCATCAACTTGTCCACCTTTCTATTTTTTTTTGTTTTTTATTTTTTTGGAATCATGGACTATACATACATTAATTCAATTAATTCTTAAGATGATAGTTTTGTACTTCTAGAAGGGAAAAAAAAAATCAAGTCACATTGATCAAGCAAGAAAGAAAGTTTCAAGAGCTAGTTAGCTTATTGTAGTTCTTTGTTGAACCCTCTTTATTAGTTTGTAATTTTGGTTGATTAACCTTATGTCAAAAAAATAAAGAAAACAAAAAAACAAAAAACCAAAAAAAATTATACCAAGAAAGGGTGTATATGTATCACTTTTTCGGTTGTTGTTTTAGGTTATTTGATTGTTATGTTATCATTTTAACTTTTGAAAAGCTTGTAGATGTCGGAGCTAAGATTAGTTGTCATCTAAAAGCCGATAAATAATGCTAGCTATTAAAGTTACATAATCTTGATAATATGAGTGTTTGTTAATATTAATTATCTATAGTTTGAGAATCGACCCAAACACCATAGCTACTCGTGCTATCAATTGTTAATTTTCCTTGGTAAATTGGATGATTGAGGCATTTATGCAAACTAAACAATTAAACTACTAGTAGTTGGTGTAACACTGGTAAATTCCTTGTAAATGGAAGGTAGATCTAGGTTACCATTTCTCATGCTGCGACTCTCACATGGCTTTGCAATAAACAAATGCAATTGCAATATTACCGGAGTATAATCAGGTATGTTTGCAATTCCAAAGCTTATCAGTTCAAGAATGCTGCTGAAAAGCAAAATGAATTTTAAGAAAAATTGGGGTGAGAGAGGCTCGAACTCTCGACCTCAGGATCACTCAGAAGCTATGAGACCTACGCGCTAGCCAACTGCGCCACCACCCCTTCTGTTAATTTGTAATGGGTTATCAATCCAAACTTAATGTCTAATCTTGTACGAAGTATGTATTGTGTTACGGAGTACATAATCTTGTACTTATACCGTATGAAATATGAACAATAAATATTAAAAAAAAAAAAATTGTACATACATATTTCATATACGAAGTACTTTTACTTCGTATTATACTACGTATAACAAATCGGAAAAGTAAGGTCTTTAAATTTTGAATAAAATTTCACTAGTTCGTTGCTGAGCCACACCAAACATTTTCGTTACTTATTTGTGAAATTGCGGTCAAAATTATGACTTACTTAGATATTCTTTGTTGACATATAATTTGTGAAATTGAGCTTAAATTATGTTAGGTTAACAATAATCATCATGTAGAATTGGACCATACCATAAACGTATTTAAGGAAAGACTACTTCACTTGATGTGGATCTCTTAAGATTCTCACAAGGCTCGTAAGGTATAATAACATTGGATATTCGGATTTCAACAAGAACTAAAGAAATTACACATACTCTAATTCTTGCAAGAATAGAGAGTCTCTTCCTAGTCGCAACTAGAAGATAATCACGTGTCGCAACTAGTGATGTTTTTTATTAACAATCAAACGAGCAACGCTCAAAGGGTTAATAATTCCCAAAACAAATCTCTCATCATTCATTAAAAATCACTATTGATATGCACCCATATTTATAGGGTGAAAAATCGTAATAAGATAGGAAACTAATAATTATATCCTAAAATAAAATAGAATATTAAGAATCTCAATCCTAATATATCTCCTAATTATATTTATAACCAACTACTAAATCTCTAGGAAAAATCCTTTCAAGTGAAAGGTAAAAACCCATAGGCAAAATCCTAATAATTAATAATAACTAAAAGATAGTATAGACTTTTTAAAAACTCCATGAATTTTCAAGAAAACCCATATTGGACTATTGCTTCTGCATCATCACTGCATACCATTATTGTTTAATTTAATGCAAGGGCTAGTACAACAGTCTAATTTAACAAGTAACAACACTATGGCTATAGGATAACTAATTGAGATAATCTCCAATTAATTATCAGTGCATATTACAACCCTAATTGATACAATTGAGAATACTTTGACGTAGTAAGGATTACAAATAGAAGTACCTAAAATAAAGTTCAAGAGCTTAATATGTTATGCTAACATAGTACGGAGTGCATCATAATTTTAGACTTGTAGTTTTATGATAAAACAAGTGGTAATGGATGAAATTATGTTGAACTTAAGGGCACTTGACGGTAACATTGTGGTAGACGATGTCGTTCCAGGATGGGCAAGTGACGGCAGGACCGGGAACACATTTAGAGTTGGCTATACAACATTGACTGCATATCCTCACACACATCCTTGTCCTTCCAACGTAAGCGGGTGATGCTTCACACCTCTTCATGCACTCCGTCGGGCAAAACCCTAGCATGTTCCACACATACATAAGTCACATAACCACATTACCTTATGTAAATTAGTCGAATACCCTAACAATAAAGTTATATATATTAATATAATATAGTCATAACATATCACTTTTGAAACATTAATTAGAAGCCAAATTATGTTCTCCGTACAAATTAAAAATAAGTGTATTTCAATATGAGATAGAGATATATAATCAAATTCGATTAAAGAGTTTTTAAATAACACTACAAGATCGAATATTTCCTTTTATTTAACAATTATTATATCTTTTAGTATCGATTGCATTCACTACAAAAAATCCTCCCAATGAATGACAATTCTATACAAGATTCACTGTTACCAAAGCATTAGGTTGTGTTTTTGTATTTGCTTGGGTTGCCTCAATAATTGATACGAATACTAGCTACATCCAATTGTGATGATTATTGTAGCAATTATAATCACTATAAATGTTGAATCCAACATCCATATAAATTGCATATATGATAGTAGGCATGTAAGTTTATAAAAGATTCAAACATGCAAACCCAATTAAATTCTAATATTAGATGTTTTACCACGACATTAAATAATGTCATATTTTAAGCTCAATGTTCCAAACAAAATTTCAAAATATAGATTATTACAATATAGAAAAGGCTTTTTGTATCAATTTTTAGGTTTGATATCGCAATTGTAAAAAATGGTGAATATAATTTTTGTCATATCAAATTTATATGGGGTTACTATGGTGATTGTAAATAATACGATTTTCAATACTATTTTACGAATATAAGTTGCATATTGTTGTAGTAGATGTATAATTACTACAGAAAAATCGCTACGAAAAGACAATTTTTTTTGTAATGGTAACAAACCATGATTGTAAGGTACGGAAGGAATTTCCGGGGTGGGTGGGCAGGTTGAAGGAGGTGGAAAGGGAGATTGTGGTGGAGTGTAAGTTGAGGGAGTAGCAGTAGTCGGGGGAGTGACAGGAATTTGTGGTGGGGGGGATGTGGTAGTTGGGGGAACAACAGGAATTGTAGTGGTTAGGGGAGTGGTTGGAGTTGGGGGACTTGTGGTAGTTGGAGGAGTGACTAGAATTGAGCAAGGAGGAGTGGACATTGGGGGATTGGAAGTGGTTGAAGGAGTTATAGTTGTTGGCAGAATAGATGGAGACGAGGAAGGAGAGGTGGTCATTAGGGGAGTTGTAGTGGTTGGAGGAATGGGTGGAGTCGAAGAGGGAAGGGTGGACATTGGGGGAGTTACAATGGTTGGGGGAGTCGCGGTGGTTGGTGGAATGGGAGGAGTCGATGACGGAGGGGTGGACATTGGGGGAGAAGTAGTGGTTGGGGGAGTTGCAGTGGTCGGAGGAATGGATGGAGTCGAGGAGGGTGGGGTAGACATTGGGGGAGTGGCTGGAGTCGAGCAAGGAGGATTGGACATTGGGGGAGTTGTAGGAGGAGCTAGCAATTGGAGTGGAAATCGAGGGAGTAGCGGTGGATGGAACTGGGGGAGTTGTGGCGGAGTATAGATTGGGGTAGTGGCAATAGTTGGGGGGGTGGTTGGAGTTGAAGGAGTTGTGGGAGGAGTGTAGGCTGGGGGAGTTGCGGTGGTTGGAGGAATGGATGGAGTTGAGGAGGGTGGGGTGGACATTGGGGGAGTTGTGGTTGTTGGGGGATCGGAGTGGCTGGAGTTGAGCATGGAGGATTGGACATTAAGGGAGTTGAAGGAGGAGCAATTGGAGTGAAAATAGGGGGAGTAGCAGTGGATGGAGCAGTGCCTAGGGGAGTTGTGGGTGGAGTATAGACCGGGGGAGTGACAGTAGTTGGGGGGGGGGGTGGCTAGAGTTGGAGGAGTTGTGGGAGGAGTATAGAATGGGGGAGTGGCAGTAGTTGGGGGAATGCTCGGGGGTATTGGTGGGTTACATGTGGAAATTGGTGGAGTTGCGGAAGGTGGAAGAGTGGCAGTTGATGGAGTTACGGGAGGTGAAAGAGTGGCAGTTGGTGGAGTAGTGGGAGTTGTGGGAGTGGTTGGAGCTATTGGTGGTGTACAAGTGGACATTGGTGGATTTGCAGGAGGTGGAAGAGTGGCGATTGGTGGAGTGGCAAGAGTTGGGGTTGTGGTTGGAGATATTTAAAGGGTGTAAACTGGGAGAGTGGTGTTATCTTCTGATGGAGGACAATTAGCGTACACCTGCGTGTAGAAAATTATAAATTTAAAAAAAACATATGAACTTATTCATGTTAGCTAAGAAATAAGACACCTCATTATTTATGTTTATTTAGGTTTATATGCATGAGATTGCATGAGAAAAAAAAAAATTAAGGCATGTGATATGAACAAAAATACTTATGCACTTCATTTTAAGGCAACAATGTTAGTTACTCTTTAAATTTAGTGTCAATATATATTTGTCACTTCAGAACAAATATGTGTTTCGCAATACTATAACCAAACATGCATGCACAATTAGATTGCCCCTATTCATTTTTATCACTTTCATTGCGTAAATATGATATATGCGCTAGTGTATAATACACCTTAGGATATATGATATGGGGTATATAAAATATATGCCTAGACTACATTCTACATAGAAAGATGGAAAAAGTTTTCAATGTTCTTTTATTGCGTATTATGAGAAGTTAAAGTGTATATTTTTTAAAGGTAAGAAAAATAAGCTTTTATCACGAGCGGTATGGGGTGTTTGGCTATTGGCTTTTTGCCTAATTTTTGGCTTTTGGCTTTTTAGTTTAGTCAAACAGCTAAAAGATATGTTTGGTAGTTGACTTTTTTGTTGGCTTTTAAGCTGGCTTTTCCGTCAAAAGCTAATAGGAGTAACTTTTTCTATTGGCTTGTTGGCTCACTTTATTACTAATACACAGCTAACAACCATTAATAATTTTACCAAACACTTTTGTAAACAGCCAGATCAAACAACTAACTTAAAAAGTCAATCCATACAGCTAATACTTTCAGCTAGCCAAACAAGCCAAGCAAACAAGCTAACAGCCAACAGCCAACCGCCGATTGCCAAACAACCCCAATATAATTAAAATGCTTATGTATTGAACATTATTATAGAAAACAATACCTTGGTTGATACGAGAAGGAAGCATATGAACAAAGAGGAAGTTTTCAAAGCCATTGTAATTGGCAATTCAAATGGCTAAGAAAAACTAATAAGAAAGAAGAAGCTAGACAGGTAAAGGCTAAGCTAAGGGTTTGGAATTGAGATATGTAAGAGTGTAGAGGAGTGAGCTATATTTATAGTGAGTGAAAATTATTGAATAAGTCGATCGATCTTTCACATACAGTAGTTGTTATGCATTACTAATGGAAGGAACCAAGTCTTTAGTTCTCAACATTAGACGTACTTAATTATGTTCAATGTGTTAGTTTTGGTGAAATCTGATTGATTGCATGCATTTTATCCAAGTAATGAAGCTCAAGTCAACCCTTCCTTGGCTTCAACAATAATATTATGGGAATAAATTCTCCCATGCATGCATGCATGCATCGTTCGCTACCTGATTTGATTAATTACTTTAGGCATGGCCTTGAGCTCAATCAAGGAGAAACAATATTAGGTTATATAGGTTTACATTTGAACATATAATTTTATTTTTTTGACGAGATTGATCTGAACACGTGTTTCTACAAGAGTAGGCAAAGAAAAATTTGTAGTAAAGTTAGAATTCGCTTTTATAAGTCTTACTCCATATTAAACAGAGGTGTGACTATAAATGTTAACAACAGCAATGATTCGGTGTAACAAATTCTATAAATTTAGGCTCTTAATTTATAGATATACACTGTTTTTATTAACAAAATTTACTTTACAAAATTATTGTTCAACAAGTTTTCTTGTTACATAAAGTGGAAAAATGTGAAAATATATATAAAACAAACTATCAAATTTTGGAGCCCTTTCATTCAAACGCCCTGTACTATCACTTGCCTTGCACAAACTCATAAGTCATAACCGCCCATGATATTAAACAATATTAGTTATAAAACAAAATAAAATACCAAAGATCGCAAGGCCCCCTTGGAGAAGGCTGCAGAGGACAGCTATTCAAGAGACGAGAGTATTAATTGTTTTACAGAATTACAATTGTTATTTGATTCAATTTTCATTGTATTAATTGTTTCTGATCTCTTTTGTAGATGTCGTATGACTTCTTATTAATGAATTGATCTTCTAAAAAAAAAACCAACTTTGCAACCCCCTATGGAATTTTATTCACATTGCTATGGCTCACATGAAATATGATATTTTTATTTTCCACTGAATATGCGCAAGCTAAGGACTCTTTAATTTTACATTATTATTACTACAAAAATTCAAAACATGTAGCTTTACTTTCAAAAGGTCCATATGCATGCATGATTTATAGTTATTATTCACTTAAAATTCGCTTAACTCAACATTTGTCAAAACATTTAGCATAATAATGCAACAACTAATCTTTTGTCTAATATTATAACCTTTTATATACACATGCAGGCACATGCTTATGAGTCACGAAGAAACTTGAAGAGCATATAGTCGATGTAGATAGAATACCTGTTCAACAACAATAGCAAGAGATCGAGACTGATTAAGAAGGTACCCTCAATTGAATTATGTATTTATGTGGAAAGAGTAACATCCACTACTTCTATATCGTAATACTATTCCTCCGTTTTTTTTTAATACAACAAGTTAACTTCACGAATTTTGAAAGGTTTAGGTTAAATTTGTTGATATAATATTCAATCAGTATTTTTAAGTGATACTATAACACACTAGCATCCGCACAAAGTTTTAAAAGAAATATATAGAGTATTGACATGATGGTTTAAAACCCAAATATATCCAGATGCATAATAGATTTAAAAGCAATTACAGTATTTAGAAGTCCCCATAAACTCATAAATCGATGAACACTTGTACATTCCTTTCATGCACAAGGAAAGACAACAAATGTGGTTTAGAAATTAGAAATCTTTTGCCCTTGATAATAATATACCCTGCATTTGATGATGGTCAACCTTTCCTATCCTAAATGTAAGGCTTCTCATGTGCCCATGGACTAAGGACTACGGCATAAGTTAGACTGCTGCCACCTCTCTCTCTCTCTCTCTCTCTTTCCAGAGAAAAAATGAAAAAAAAAATAATCTCACATGACAGTAATACTACCCAGCATATATGGTACCTGCAGATCTAAGGGAATCGTCGAAAAGAGCCGAAAATCAAGGTAAAAAAAATACAGTATAAGAAAAAAGCTGGTAGCAGCAGCATACCAGTAAAATGAGCAACATTTGGATTAAAACAATAATTACATCACTGTTTTATACATCTTACACGATCAAATAGGAGTAATAAAAATTGATAACGGGATGAAGAAATTGCAGTGTATAATGAAGTGGAATTTCAACATCAATTTCTGTAAGGCGATAACCTGCAGTCCTGCACATTATGTACAGTTTCCGAGCCCCTTCTTTACTTGGCTAGCCAGCGGCAACTACATTTTGCAGCAGTGCCTCCAAGTCACTCAATCTGTAAGTATGGGACACGTAATATTCATGAGTGTCGAAGAAACTTGTAACACACTTGATTTAATTAAATTTCATATACACACCCTACCTTACAGAACTCAAGTCAGGGTAAGTTGCAATTGCATCTGTAAAATCCTGCAATGGGGGTCATCATTGAGTACAAAGTTAAACCATTTTATTGTACTTGTAGTTAAACAGAAAGACTGATATTCTCCTGTAAGCTCATATCAGTCAGCTAATCAGAACAGAAAAATTAAGCTTTTAACTAATATGAGGATTCCATATTAATTACTTTTAACTAAAGCAATTAACTGACCTGGGTAGATGTGGATGTTGTATAGGTTATTACACAGGGCATTCCAGCCTTTGTTGCAGCCTGAAAGTAAAGGTAGGTTTATCCTAAGTTAAACTCTTGCGTACCACAGTCAGCAGTGAAAATTTAAGAGCTCTAACATTCTAATGTATAGACTACAAAATTTTCAAAATGCTTAATAGAGCCAGAAAATATTGAATGCTGAGAAACAGCATATCAAGTTCTTTACATTCACGCACAAACTGCAGTCTAGATACATTTGAACAGCCAGATGTATATAAAAACAGAGTGATGCAATTGTCACTCTTTCCTAAGATTAATTGATCTACTATCCAGATTACAAATAATTTGCAATTTTGAACTCCTTTTAAGGAAAGCATATTAAGACTGGTCAGCTTGCAAAAAAATCAGCTTTCAAGCAAATAATAGTAAAACCATGTATAGCTCTTAGAGTCTATTGATCTCTATTTGTATTATTTAAAGTAATGTTAATTTTCATTGCATTGCTGAGGAAATTTTGGTTAACAGTAAATATCCATAGCTAAATTGTAATTTTGAATATTAAGAGCATTGAGCATGACTTCTATACTTGTAATTCCAAGCTCCATCCAATAGCTTCCAGTTATTTCACCATAATTTTACTCATATTTTATTCTCCCCTGTCTAGGCTATTATGGATCAGGACTTCTTAAATCCAGTAAAATTTACAAAAATTTAAAAAGAAGAGGCATGGATTTCATGGGCACCAACCTGTCAAATTGTCAAACAGGAAGTGTCAAATTCACAGAAATCTCCAGGTTTCTAATATTTGTTTGTTTTTAATAGTAATGTGGTGTACCTTGAGGCCAATGACACTATCTTCCACTACCAAACAGTCGTCCGCTGACACACCTAACTTCTGCAACATTTAGGACCCAAAGATATCATATTATTGCTTGAACCGCTGATGAAAAAAGCTACGAAGCATGCAACGAATGTAAGTGTGCTAAATTGATCTACCTTAGCAGCAGCAAGATAAATTGATGGATCAGGTTTCTTTTCTTTGACATCATCACCTGCAATACAGAAAACTGAAATATCAGACCCTAAGGGTGTAGAGATTTAACACGACTGCCAGTTTTTAACCCTACAGCTCAAAATCATCAGTTTGTAATCTGATCTCGATATTAAAAGATGTGACACATTCAACAAACCTGCAAGAAAGCAATCAAGACCATGGAAACGATCCTGTGAAAAGAGAAAGGTAAGTTAAGCAGATTGGACAGAAATTGAGAGCTTCTTTTACAAATGAGAGAATGAGCTTACTAGTCCTATTAGACTCTCAAGAGTGAGTACAACTGAACTTTTGGTTGCAGCAGAGCACACAGCTAGCTTCTTACCCTGCAAACATGAAGCCAAATGGCCCAGCACATCCATGAAGACACAATTGCATAGTCATTCCAAGAAAAAAAGGCATTATGCCGTAAGAAAATAAATAAATCAGATTCATCTAGTGGACTAGTGGTAAGGACTGGCAACATGATTTAAGTCACAATTCAAGAAATGCAATACACCAATGTATATGAATTGCTGTATTAGTAGAGTATTTTAGAATTTTAACTTACAGCAGCCTTAGCTTCATCCATCAATCTCAAAACTCCAGGTCTCGGTTGCACCTGATAAAAAATAGTACTTTTATTTGAGGGAAATAAACTAGTCTTCAATAAAATGGAGAACAAAGAAAGCACAGAAAATTATTTTTAAAAAGAAAGACTTACAGAACCAGACTTGATGATTTCTTGGTACCTTTCTGTTTTCCAATCCTACAAAACTATAAGCAGAATCAGCAAGGCTCCCTGGTCTTAGTAGTCCTAATCAGTAAAATCCAAACAGGTCAACATGATAATACGAGTACATGATATTGAATTGATATTGATGACCTAATATACCAGCTAGTAATTGAGAAAATCACTGTACTAAAAGGAGCAACACTATTAGATAATACAGGAACCTGAATGACATCTATCAATTTTGATCTATCTGTATCATTTTCTGGAGGTGTCTCAAAAATCGTAGAAGTTGGCCATCCGTGCTCCTTGAAGTACCTTGCAGTTGATTTCTGAACAATCAGTGAAGCAACATGAAAACAACTTACTGTCCTACACCACAGGCAGGACAACATACACCTTCTTATGAATGAACATTTACTCATCATACTGGTTGACCATAACAACTAAAAACAAGATTAAAAAAAAAAAAAAAGACTGTATAAAGTATAGGGAGCATGCTTAGATATAATCATACACACTAACAGAACATACATAATAATTTAAAAAAGAGACAACTAAAATAAAGGCAGAAATTATTATGTAGTTCAGCATCGAGAAACAGCACTAAAAATACTAGCTATTAGCAGCTATATTAATCACCTTCCACAATTTTTCAATTCACTTAGCTAGCAATCTGTCAAATAAAACTTTCAACTTAAAGCTCTTCTCTTGCCATCATCTTTCATTCGAAATCCAATAAAAACAGCAAGTATCAAAATGCAAAATAATACTGAATTTCACAAAAAAGAGAAAATCTAATATGATTTGTTCAAAGATGAAGATACTAAACAGAAGTCAAAATCCCCAAATTTTGCAATATAATGTTATTGCCTTTACCTCAACCAAAACATAAAATTTTCTACAAGAATTAGTCACACTAACATTAATGTTAAAAGTATTATAAAACTTCCAAATTTGCATTGCAACAACCAACATTAAGGTTTCGAACAAAGAGAAGCGCCATCAAAAATTATGCTATGAAATTGAAGGAATTCCACAATAGCTGAATGGATATGGTATAAATCCTACAAAGAGGAATAATGGTCCTAGGCCCTACCTCTAAATTCAAACCATACTAAATACAATTTTTCCTATGATCTCCGTCCGAGTTTAGTTGTTGCATTACTACTTTACTAGAACACGATTTTAATTCCAAACCGAGGGAGTATGTACCTATACTTATACAGCTAGACTATCATTGATCAGTTGTATAAGTTCAATAACTATGGCCATTCCTCTAAAGCCTAAACAATATCTAATACTTTTTTCTACTATCTAATTCTTAATTTAGTTGTCACATTACTAATTCAATTTGCGCTATCAACCCGATTATTAATTCCGAACAAAAGGGACATTTACCCGCACAATCAGTAGAATAATTTCAACAATCAGTCAATTGCACAGATTATAATTGGAAAATGAAAATGAAATAGGAATTTACCAACGCATCTTAGGTTTACCACCACCAATTTGATTCTGAAGAACGTCATAAAACTCGATATCCCAATCAAGAGGTCCATCCAAAGAAGAAGAAGGGCAACGAACATTGAAGAAAGCGAAAGCATCATTATAAGCTTGACGATGCAAATCCTCAGACTCTAAAATTACACCATCGCAATCAAAAATCAATGCTACCATAGAATTTGCAGATGCTCTAACAACTGATGATGATGTTGAAATGGTGCGGTTTTTAGGGTTGCTAGGGCGAAGTGGAAGAGAGAGTCGGAAGCCATTAGAGCGAGAGATGAATGCGGCGGAGGAGAGCGGTGGCGAGGAGAGAAGAAGACGGTGGTGGTGGGAGTTTGGAAGTGTGTGGAGTTGGGCCGCCATTGAAGATGAAGCGCTGAATGCCATCCTAATCCGTTTTTTCAATTGCACACCCAAAATGGAGGGAGTGTATTGGATAAGGTTTATTACGGAGTACTCCGTATTTTTTTTGTTGCCGCCGATTATTTTGCCCTTTTCACTTCCAGTACCGACTGTTTTAACCATCCAACCTCTTGTAGGAAAGATAAACTATCTAAGCCAATTAACAACTATATTATAATATATAAAAATAAATGTATATATTACAAATCACAAAGACTAATAAAAAAGGAAAAAAATAGTGAATTGCTAAACATCGCCTACAAATTACCAACTAAAGCCCACACATTTCCATTGAATTGACAATATTGCCCTTGACCTAAAAAAAACACTCTCTCATCACCCCAACAAAAAAAATATGTGCCACTTTCATTCTACGTTTTTAAAAAAAAAAAATCAAAATTCGGCAATGTCGAGACGGCAAGGCAAGGAATTGGCGGCGGCGGCGGAGGGAAGGAGGTCTCACGGTGACAAGGTTGATTTTTTTCCGTTTTAAAAAAAAAAAAAAAAAAAAACGCCGTGGCAAGGTGGGGCGCATGGGGAGGACGCCACGGCGGTGGTGGTGGCGCCAGAATCAAACGCCGGAACCACGGCCATGGCGTCTGGATCTGGCGCCGTCACCACAGGAATGGCGTCCTGGCCAGGCACCGCCACCAGCGGTCTAGCGGTCTAGCGTCCTAGCCAGGCGCCGCCACCCATGGCTTGGCGTCCCAGCCATGCGCCCCCTTTTTTTTTTGTTTTTTTTTTTGGAAATCAGTTTTTTTTTTTTTTTTTTTTTGAAAATAAGATTTTTTTTTTCGAAAATCGTTTTTTTTTTTGTTTTTTGTTTTTTTAAGTAATTTTGTTTGAGTTTTCGTTTTTTTATGGTTTTTTTTTTTTTGAAAATCATTTTTTTTTTTTTGGAAAATCATAATTTTTTTTTTATGTTTTTTGTTTTTTTAAGTAATTTTCTTTGGGTTTTTGTTTTTTTATGGTTTTGTTTTTGAAAATCAGTTTTTTTTTATGTTGTTTAATTTTTTTGAAAATCATAATTTTTTTTTTTGTTTTTTGTTTTTTGTTTTTTTGAGTATTTTTCTTTGGGTTTTTGTTTTTTTATGGTTTTTTTTTTAAAATCAGTTTTTTTTATTTTGTTTATTTTTTTGAAAATCATAATTTTTTATGACTTGTTACTACCAAACAAAAACCAGAAGTAATTGCAACTTGTTTAGCCCAATCAATCGCTTGTTGAGCATCTTTGAAGGACCATCATGTACAAATATCCCACTGTAATCATTTCCGTCTCCACCGTAATCCTGCATAAATTAGATATTATATTTAAATACATATAATTATGTAAAGCGTAAATTAACACAAAATTAAAAACATAATATAACAGTATTCATACACATACAAAATTCAAACATAATCATTTATAAAAGTATTCATACACATACAAAATTAAAACGTAATTATGTGTAAAAGTATTCATACACAAATAAAATTAAAACATAATTAATTTTTTTTGTAAATTATTAACACAAATCTAATTTCCACATACAAAATTATAAATTATTAGCAAATATGTAAAACATTATTTCAAGTTATACATTTTTTTTTACAATTTAAATTTCTCAAATTTAATAACTAAAAAAACAAAAAAATTAAAAATCTAATTTCCACATACAAAATTATAAAATAAATTTATTAACAAATATTTAAGACATAATTACAAATAAAACATTTTTTTTGTTTTAGAATTTTAATTTTTCAAATTTATAAACAAAAAAAACAAAAAAAATTTAAAAAAAAAATAAAGGCAGTGGCGCCTGGCTAGACCACCACCACCATGGCAGTGGCGCCTGGCCAGGACGCCAGGACCGTGGGCGTGGCGCCTAGCCTGGAAGCCACCACCACGGTTCCGGCGTCCTGGCCAGGCGCCACCTCCACGGTGCCGGCGTCCTAGCCAGGCGCCACCGCCATGGCACCGACGTCCTGGCCATGCGCCCCGACCATGACGGTGGTGGTCCATGGTCACGCCTCCGACGATGTTTTGCTGCGACGACGACGGCTCTTCGGTATCCCTCAGCTCTCTGGTCTCTCGCGCGGACCCAGTACGACTCCACATTTTTCGATGTCAGAATTTTTCGTTTTATGGTAAGATTTCACAAATGGCCAAAAGTGTCAAACCAAGTGTCTTTTTGAATTCGATTTTCGATGTCAGAGTTTTCCGTTTTTGGTAAGATTCCACAAATGGCCAAAATTGTCAAACCAAGTGTCTTTTTTAATTTGATTTTTCGACGTCATAATTTTTCGTTTAGAATTCACAAATAGGCAAAAGTGTCAAACCAAGTATATTTTGCGGGCTTTATGTAGTAATTTGTGGGCGATGTTTAACAAATCCCAAAAAATAATACCGAAAAGAATTTTTTTTTTTGATGGGAACACCAAAAAGATTAGATACATATAATTACAAGGTTTTATTAAAGTAGCAACCCAATGCTAACGTTCGGGCCACACACTAATTTTTTCACTAATTTTTTTTTAAAAAAAAAATGTGTATGCACGGCCCGTGATGACTCACTTGTGTGCCTCACATATCATGTGTAGGTTTGTGTTGGCCTCATGCCTATTCCCTCCATAGTCCATCCCTATTTTTTTGCCCCATTGTCAAAATTTGGATTAGTCTTTAAAAACTTTTACCATGAGTTCTCATTATTCTATAAAAAGTAATATAGTCATGTGAGCTCTTATTTGGTTTGTTTCATTGTATAATATCTATTTTTTTTATAAATTTTAATGAATATATAAATGTTTTAACACGTGTCTTGAAAATCGTAAAATGTCAAATGGAATAAAAATAAAAGGATATAGAGTTCTTGAACCAATTTCATCTAGGCTATAGTTGTTCAATTCAAAGAGTAGTTGGTACTCTTTTTATTTTTCGCTCCAATAATTGCATCACTTTGACAGTTTGACCACCATATTTGTTATAAACATAATTTTAATAACTATTAATATCTTTAAGTATTTTATCAAAATTGTAAAAAATAAAATACATTATGAAAAATAGACATTGCAGTTAATCCATTAATATATTACATAATATTAACATTTATTCTCATAACCCAATGACCATCGAAGAGAAACTTTCATTCATGGAAGATTTTTGAACATGGAAAAGTGACCATGGATGAGATAACAGTATTCTAATATATTACCGAATTTGTAGTTTTATAGATACTCCACAAAGGGGAAAGGAACATGTCCTAAGTAACTCTAGATGCCCTTTATATGATACTAGGACTCTAGAAGGTACTAATCATTCAATTGAATTTTATACGTAAACCATAAATATATCATGTGCACCACTTATTTATGAAGATGTAGTCTAGGACTCTAGGCATTAAGTTCACTCCTTTTTGTACGTGTCTAGAGTTGTTGATTAATGAGATCAAAATATATTATGACCGTCTTGGATGCAACTAATTCAGAGTTTATTTTGATTGATTGCAAAATTTGTGTTAATAGTTTACAACGTTGTTTTACATACTACCTCAACTTCATATTACTCGCAACAAATATGTTGTGTGCGGACTCCTAGACAAAAGATCTTATGTATAATTATTGAAAAATAAGGACATATACTAAATATTAATCCAACCCCACCCAAAAAAAAAAAAATTAAACTAAATAACCCACCACCACTAGCAGCACCGAAACCACCCACAACTACCACCACTAGCAGCACCGAAACCACCCACAACCACCACCACCACCACCACCCAACAGCACCGAAACGACCAACCAGCACCACCACCCAGCAGCACCATAACCAAACAGCACCACCACCTAGCACCTTAAAACATCGAGCCCACCACCACCCAGCACCTCAAAACATCAAGCCCACCACCACCCAGCCGCAGCAACCCCCACAAACCTAGCTGCAGCAACCCCCACGACAGCAAGTCCAGCAACCCCCACAAACCCACAAGCCGCAGCGCCACCACTAACCACGAACCCGCCGATCTAAACCCCCCGACCTACAACCCACGAACCAACCACAAACCAAACACGAACCCACAAACCCTTCTCTATCATCAATTAAAGCTTTAATTGGTCAAATTAACCATAAAAACTCTAGATCTAGAGTTTTGACGGTTAAATTTGACTATAAAACCTTCGAATTTGGGTTTCACCGGCAATGAGGAAACAAAAGGCAAAGGAAAAGAGAGAAAACAGGGGCGGCGACAAGAAAGGGATAGCGGTCGAATTGAGGGGAGAATGAAGGTGGTGGTTGCCATTGAAGATGGTGGTGGTGGTGGTGATGGTGGTGGTTTCCATTGAAGGTGTTGGTTGAATGTAGATATTGAGTTATGAAGGAAGAGAGAGAAAACTTATGAAGGAAGATGTTGAATGTAGATGGAGGAAGGGAATGAATTTGGTGGTAAGGTGAAATTAATTAACCTTAGGTTTTAATGTAATGAGAACAAATTTATAGTTTAATTAGGATGTTTAAAAAAAAAAGTAAGGGTAAAATTGTCATTTTGCAGCCAAAAACTTACTAAATAAGGAAAGAAAAATATTTGTTGCGAGTAATGTGAAGCGACCATTTTTGGCAAATGTTGTAAGTAATATGAAGCGGAGGTAGTATTTAAATATCTAATTGAGCAATACTTTCTTTGTTCCTAAATTTTTGCCCCGTTGCAAAAATTTGGACCAAACTTTATAAGTGATCACGTAGTCATGTCTCATGTGAGATCTTGTTGGATACCTCTCATTGTATATACTAACTCCGGTTCTTGTTACTCGCAACAAAGAGGTGTTTTGCGGACTCCTAGGCAAAAGATCTTAAGCATAGTTAGTGAAAAATAAGGGCATATACTTAAGTATTAATCCAACCCAAAAAAAAAAACAAATTCAACCAAAAATAAACTAATAACCCACCACCACTAGCACCACTTTGCAGCACCGAAACCACCCACCACCCACCACCACCACCCAGTACTACCGAAACAACCCAACAATGCAACCACGAAACCACCACTGTACCCACCGCACCGTACCCACAAAACCACCACCGCACCCATGATACCACCACCGCACCCACGAACCCAAGAACCCACCACCCACTGCAACCCACAATCTGCAACCGACAAACTGTAACCCAGTCACCCACAACCTACCATCGACGATCTCGCACCCACGATCTGAAACCACAACCTATCACCTACCACCGACGATCTGCAACCCACAGATCTGGAATAAACCACCCACAAGCCACCAACCATGAACCCACAAAACAACGTCGAACTCACCGCTCTTAACCCACCAACGTCAAATTCATCGCTCTTAACCCACCACCGTCGAA